TGCAGTCTCGAGAGAAACATGAAATTTTACTCTGCTGCTGGTGGGGCTCGAATTCGAAATAAAATGCAATCAACACCCTCTATGGGCACAAAAATGAGCTAAACTTCGATCTCATGCTTTAGGATACCACAGGGCGTTTCCCGTTGAAGCCCCAAATTCCAATTTTTTTACCCAACCCGATGAAAACCACTCTCCTCAAAAAGTTGCCTCTTAATACCGACTGAGGTGTTTTTCCAGCGAGCCGTCGCACATTCTCTGCCTACATGAGATTTTCATTATGACTCACTTCAAAAATTATTCTAAATCGTTCTGCTCTGATTATATTAGTTTTTTGTCTTCACTATTTACTGTGATTGTTGAAGGGAAAAGGCAAGAGGACGTTTGGGAAGTCACCAATTAATTTTGATACTTGTAGTACCCTCATAAGTTTTTGGTAAAATAAAACTCAATACCAGAGAATTTTCAGATTTTTCTCGTGTTGGAGAGACATTATTAAAATACGTTCACTAATATTTAGAAGTACAATTATGAGAAGTCAAGCATTTTTTGCAAAAATTTAAGAGGAACTTTTTCGATATTTCATCTCCAAAGCTTAGAATGATAGTACATCCATCTCGTATTCCTCATGACTCACTTTTATGAGTTTGTGCTCAAAGATCCTGTTAGTTATAACACGGGTCATCAGTTATCACTACAGTATTTGTTGAGCAGTCACAAATTTCATATCCGACCTCTCTAATTGACACTATCCACTGTGCGCGGCGGTCTAACCGCCAGATTAATAGAAAAACATGGTCATAGTCAATTTCAACTAATGCATGAGGATAACTCAAAATTTGACCGATTACTGAAGGGCATGACTGAGGCATGGTATTCTATCTAATAAAAGAAAAAAATGAATCGCGGCTCTTTCAATGCTCATGGCCATTTTTAGGCCCTACCAGAATGTTCTATTTTTGCATTTTTCATTTTATCTTTTCGACTGATATTATCCGTAAAGCAGTTTTAAAAGTTTCCGGGGGTACTCCAGACTGTGCGTTATCGTGGTCATTAGTGATATTTGGACGTATTTGCATCAAACGGAACTATGTGCATTATGACGTGATCCCTATTATGCACATATTCTTATGGGTCTCAGAGCTCATGTCTCAATGCGCATAGTTCCGTTTGATAGAAATACATCCATTTGTATACAATATGACCGCGCGTATACTTATAGACGTTCCTTTCCCGTGTTCTTTCGTATAATAATTGCGGCCTCTGAGCATTCACCTGGTATCTTGACGTTCAGATTATCCTCATTCGACAACTGGCAAAGCCGAGGCTCCTTGCGGTCATGGACCCATGACGAATTTCCTGAGTGGAGATTGAATGTTGCTGATTTTTTGCCGCGAGTTCTGTGTTTTGTGAAGTCTTATTTTACCGGGAGGTAATTGAGGTATTTTATTTCTGAGCTTCGGAACATTTCAGTGTCGTAATGGTTCTTGAAGCTGCTTACTGAACCGCAGAAACTGATAAAAATGTCTATCATCATAATATTAATCGACCTCTTTACAAGTCTACGAAAATGTGTTTTCCCGATGGCACCAATTTTTGTGAAAAATACAAATAATTCAAGAGCGCGAATAGTTAGATTTTTTTTTTTTTTATTGGATAACTCGATGAAGAGAACTGCATATCTTTTTGAAAGGCTTTTAAAGGAAACCGGAAAGAAAAACCAATCTTTTGAATAGTTGACAAGCGAGCGTGATATTACATAGCCTTCTTCTTGCCATTCTAAAAATACTTAACTGAATGCTAGCATCAGTGCTTTGTTATAACCATCATTGACGTGAAAAGATAGTCTAAATACTCCTCTTTAACACAAAATTTTTCAACGAGCTCTTGCCGATTACATGAGCCATAGGAGCAGTTAAAAATAGTTTATGAGAAGTGTACATACGTAATAATTTTTGTAAACTTGTAAAAAAAAAAAAGTAAAATTGTAAAAGTGTGTTCTGCACTGTCACGTAAAACTTCGCAACATTGCGATACGCTTGAACGGATATCCCTTCTTCAAATAGCATGGTCGCGATGCAAAATCTAAAAAAAATTCCTTGCAAATTGTCGCGACGATCGGAAAATCAGCGATGACGTGCTGTGCGAGTCCTGTATAAAAATATATCAGAGCATAATGACGCCTGTTATTTTCCTCGAAGAAAAGAGAGAAAGATTTAAATCTTTTCCCGGAAGTTTACAAGAAGTTGAGTCAAGTATTTTCGAGAACCCTGTTAATCCGGGAGCACTGAATGAACTTATCATCGCACATTTTATTACATTTAGCAATTTCACGATTCTCTCGATAAAGTTTAAACGCTCTGAGAGACATCGCACTGATCAACGTTTTTCAAGCAACGAACCAATTACCTAAATCGGCACGACATTTTCAATATTTTTTTCCTCTCGGAAATATTCTTACTTACATTATTATCGAATCTGTAGGGTAAATTTTCTTTGAGCTTGAAAGGTCATTATTATCCACATTTGCAACCGAGCTCCAAGATGCGGACACAAAGCTACAACAAAATGGAGGACATTCGATTCCTTATAATTCTTTATTTCTTCTTCTCACCTATGAGAATAGGTAGCATGAACAATTTTGAACGCAATTTCCACTCTCAGGGTATTTTCCTCCGTGTATTTATTTCGCCGACTGAACCTTAATTTCGTAAAGGAAATCATTTTCAGCTAATAATTTTGAGGAGAAATTCAGATTTTTCCTGATAGTATATATATTTACTAAAGACATCGATAACATAGTCTGAGATTTTCCATAATTTCATGATTTTTCAACGGTTTTTTTTATTCTAGTAGTGCACGCAGACCTACAACTGACCACGTAACGATACATTTCTGTCATTCTATAACACCCTACCCCCCCCCTAATTATTTTTCTGACTTGACTTTCATCTTTACTTCTCACCGGACCCTCTAGACGCATTTCATAATAAATTGCTCAGTATCTTGATACGTAGCTTTTGTACTGGTGAATGGTTTACTTCTTTATGTTTGTCACCAAAGATGATAAATGATCTCTAAAAAATGTTCAACTTAGATATTGCACAAGCTGCTCACAAAAAGTCAGAAAGCTTACGCCGAACGTAGTGAATTATAACTCTTCAATTAAAGAAGAATTTCTCTGAGCATAATTATTTCAAATCGTCCCCGATCTCCGGTTGTCTCATAATGTTGTTTAAGAAATTAAAATTCCCGGATGGTGAAGACAACCACCGGACGGCCGAAACTGTCTTTTGAGCACGAATACTCTCGCTGTGCTTAAGGACGTCTTAAAAGCGACGCGAACCCAAAGGCACCTCAAAAATGGGCGAAACTTGAGTTCTTGAATTAATTTCTTCTTTGTTTTATTACACTGATTTACCGAAATGGGCTTCACCTAGAATGGCATTTTCAGAACAATCCTCGGTTCAACAAACAAGATATTCCAAACATCTGGCTGCTTGCTTCTCTCTCTCACAGAAGTAGCCTGACTACATCGCCCTTTGTGTGATTCCACCTCACATTATTTTGAAAGAAATAATCCCCTTTTTTCACAAAAAATAAGCAAACGTCTATCTTGGGATTTTGAGAGTATTTTCTCCGTAAAATAGCGAAAACCCATGAAAAGCTTCAAGGCGTTGTTATTCCAAGTTTCCATGGAAAAAAGGGGAAAAAACAGTGGACTGATTTTTGCATAATTAGTATTTAGAATTTCCGGCTCAGTTTAGAAACAACGTATGCACCATTAATTTTCTTATGTCGTTAAGTGTTTTTACGGATTAGCCATTTGCAAATGCGGTCAAAATGCAACTCGGCTGTTCTGGTCTTATGCATGCATTCGATGTATTTATGCTTAAAGGAGTTATGTTGCGCGCAAACCCTATGCACATAGTTCTTTTCAGCATAAATACACCCAATAAACGGGTGAAACAGAGATGAACAGTAATTTCTATATGACTTTTACTTTAAAAAAATTCTCTTGATATTGTATCATTCCAAAGCATACTGCAAGAAAATCTAATATGCCACAAAACAATCTAAAAAAAATTTCTCTGAACAGAGCGATTTATCCTTTGAGTAAGACATTGCTAGATAAAGGGTTACAGGAGGTATAGGATAAGGGCTCTAAGGTGTATACCTCCAGTCAATGGAAATTTGTAAACCATTTAGCGGAGAGATACAGGAGTAAACAAATTCTGAAAAATAGACCAGGATGAGAAAAATTCTATAAGCTTATAAGAAAAAAAAATCTATGAAAAATCTATCTGTGACGTATTTTTTTCTAGTAGCGAGGAGGGGAGGAGGCGCAATCAGACATGCGTAATCGATTGACGCTCTTTCAATATTTTATAATTTTATCAGTTTATCAATAACTAAACTCGACATACTTAATCAAACCCTCCGTACTGAGTGACCATACTATGGGCAGTAGCTAACTTAATTTAAGAAAATTAAAAATGTACCTAAATCCTAAAATCTACAGACAATGGGAGAAATGGTACTAGAAAAAATCTATGTACACGGCAAAAATGAAATTGCTGACCTAACAATTCTGCAGTTAAAAAAAAAGTGTCCAACGTGTTCCAATGTAGATTTTACAACAAATAAATGCCGAGTAAAATTAGATTTTCAATATTGTAAAATCCACACTTGACGACATGTCGAACATATTTTTTAACACTTTAATTGTTAAATCAGCGATCCATTTTTTCCCGTGTACACTGAAAAAAAAAATACGGTAGATTTTACAAAACTCTGACATAGTGATACGGGAATGGAAATAAACACCAGACTTGATGGTAGCATTTACCACATTATGGTAAGTATCAGCAAAGTTCTTGTGAATAATACCATAATTCTGGTTATCTTCACTACATGATATCACTGTGTAAAAAGCTAATAGACTTATAATAGATGTTACCATACTTTTTTTTTCAATGTGAGTTACTTTTAAATTGACTTACATCATTTTCGTCGAGGTAATTGTAGACTTCAAGCTTATCCAGACGAATGGTGCCTTGGAAGGGGTAGATGAGAGTTCCCTGAGGAATAGGGGCGTTCGTCCACACAGTCACTTTGGTGTCCGGAGTCTTCTTCACGGACCGGACACTGGGCTCAAACCGCGAGCTAAGCACAAGCGACAACTCCTGAGGGATCAACACACAAGTTTCCATCACGCCCAACGAGGATTTTCTGAGTCAACAAACAAAATCTCAAAAGTTTCACTTCAACGGAAATACCCAACTTCCTTCACGCGAACCACACAACACCGCGACATTGCTCTCAGTGATTTCAGTAGTAAATAATGCTCAGTAGTAGTAGTAGTAAATAATGCAAAACTCAAACGCACAAGCGAAATATTCAGTTTGGCCAAAAAAAAAAATAACGCAACGAAACAATGCACCTGCAACTGGTTTGCACTTGAAATCTGCAAACACTACAAGAATACGACACGCGAAAAAAACCGGAAAGTCTAGTAAGCCGAAGCTCAAACTTTTGGATCCTCGAAAAAATACCCGGGCCACGAGGGTGGCACGACGAAGGACTCGCTTGAACCACGTGGTCCAAAGAGCGAAACACCCCGGACTGGGCGCAGAGGCCGCCGAACTTTCGCGGAAAGCTGCGCGGTCGCCGAAAGCTCCGGACGTAAACAAAGTTGACCTTGGGCGGCGCAGAGCGCGAGATGACCTTGTAGGCAGACGAGTCAGTAGCCACTGATCCGCGGGTACCCGAGATAAGACAAGTGCAAGGCGAACACGTGGGCAGAGCCAGGCGGGCCCCCTCCTCGGCACCTGCCGGCCCGGCCGCGAGAGGTGAGTCCAAGAAAGTGGGCGCGGCGTCTTGAAGGGGCTAGCCAATGGGGGCGCGGGGTCGCGTGCGGCCGACCAATGGCGCGTCGCGACGGATAGCGATCGGAGCTACCGGTTTAATTGATCTTCGCTAGGATTTACAGGTAGACGCCGCGCGCTATTGCGTGCTGCCCGTGCCGCATCGCGCTGATGCCGCGCCGATCCAGGACGGAGACTGCGCAGTCCTGGATCATGGTCCATCGGCAGTTTCTCCCTCAAGATCAGAGCTTGACATGGTCATATATAAGTGGTCCATTTACAACGGAAAATTCAATGAGGAAAGTGTTTGTTCTTGAAATCAGTTGGACGTAGTCAAACGAAAAGAAACCATGCCGCCCATGGGCCGCCTGTATTTTGCCGCCCCCTTCTCATTCGTTTTGAAACATCAATAAAAACCATCAAGTGAACGTGCCAGCGGGGGAGGGGTGCATAAGACGAGTTTACTCGTGTTGGAAAAATTTTTTGGGAAAGCCCTGTCAACACTACTAGCAAAAGTTCACGGAACTTTGCGCGCAATTCAAGTTTCGTGAACCTATCTCTTTGTGGACAAGGCCTTCCATTCATGAGAAATGAACGATGAAATTATGAAAGAACAATCATAAATGTGGTTTAATGATTTTAACTTCCGCCGCGCCGCGCAGACCGCACCGTGTTTGGCGCAATGCGTGAGGTATTCCGACAGTCTTGTAGGTACTATGATTTTCACGCCGACCGCTGCTGAACGCAGTGTGTTTGACGCAATGCGTGGAGTATTCATGCATACTTGCAGGCGCTATCAGTTTCACGCTGATCACAGTGACCGCACTATGTTTGATGCAATGCGTGAAGTATTCGTGCAGTCTTGTATTGTAAGCGCTAATACATATGTGTTACATGCCGATCGATCGCCGCGCCGAGGCTTCTCCCTTTCATCTCAAGTCCTCGTCATCATTTTTCTCCAAGTCGCGCCGCTCCAGGCTAGATTGCGTGTTTGGTTTCTCTCTTAACTCGACTAATTAAAGGTGCTGTGACTTGTATCACTGAAAGACGACAAAATTAGAAATTACTATACTCTCAGGAAATGAGAGATTTCGTCGCCTTTTTTCGTTTGTAGGTAATTTTTTTTTCTAAATCCGATATTTTTATACCTACATTTAAAAAAAATTGCAAAATTTGCCGCCTCCTAGATTTACCGCCATGGGCCACGGCCCATGTGGGCACCCCCTTAATCCGGCCCTGATCATCTTGCCCAGGAGTACATGTGGATTGCATTTTGCAATAAGGAACCACTCCCTGTCTCTTCCGTTAAAGCACCATCCTGCAAAGAAACCGATGGGACATATGTTGCTTCTAAAATGAGGCAGAAACGGTGGTTCCTTATTGCAAAATGCGGTCCATGTATTCTTATACGAGTCTTAGAGCCGAGGACTAACAGTGAAGTTTATATTAATTAAATATTATTCGCCTTACGATAATTGATCAATGTTGGGGTTAGCACTTCGCAGGGTGAGCTCCTGCATGTACAAAGGGTAGAATCGCTAATCGAATTGATCGACTTCTTGGTCATCTATCATCATAATACAAATCAAAGCGTTGCTGAAAGTAACTTCTACACTATGAGGAAGATATCAGAGCGGCTCTTTGAAATGTATAAACTCTGCATGGTTTCATCAATGTGCCAATTGAACGTATTTCTATCAGACGGAACTATGTGCATTAAAAAGTGAGCCCTGTTATGCGCATATTCTTACGGGTCTCAGGGCTCATGTGTTAATGCACATAGTTCCGTTTGGCAGAAATACGTCCAATTGCAAATTTTGTATACGCTGCGTTAAAGTCTCCTGGAATAAGATTAGTCTCTTCCCGATCCTTAACATTAATGGCCGAAAAATTTTCATTGCCGTCCATAAACGCGTCAAGTACTTAAAAGGAGAGGCCCTAACAAACCCTCTGCATGGGAAGGGTGAGGGATAAGAATAGGTAAAATAGCCCGACGCCACTCAAAGACGGCCTCGTGTTAGTTCATGGCCATCGATATAGATGTTTCCCCAGCAGTTTTTCTTGGTGTTTTTTTCAGTGACGTTGATGGTCTCTGTGCCTCGTATCGCCAGTTTTTCTTCCTAAATCGGAAAAAGCAGTTTGGGGTCTCTACAATACATGTTATCTGATTGCACTCTTCCTCAAATGATGCCTTGTTGTTTTCAATGCTCAAACTTGGTCATGAGTATGGAAGACCAAGCAGCAAAAAAACATGACTCAGCCAGAGAACCTGTAGGGGTAGGCTCAAGTCAAGCTGTTTTTTCTAAAGTTTCCATACATACAGACGTGTTACAAAATGCGTGACGGAGTTCTAAACAAGAATTACATTTGTTGAAGGAAGTCGCAGAGGCTGAAGTAGAAGCGAATAAGGCAGCAGATGATGATAAAGAGGAAAATGATGAGCAAAGAGTTAAAAAATAAGTAGAAAATGGAGATGGAGAAAAAATGAACGAGGAGTGAAAAAGGATAGAAATTGATGAAGAAGAAGTGGGTAATGGAAACGAGTGGAAGAGGAAGAAAGTGTTGAAGGAGAATGAGAGGACGGAAAATAAAGAGGGAGAAAAAAGGAAGAAGAGGAAAAGGAGACGAGAATAATAATGGTTAGATTGAAAAGGATGAGGAAGAGGAGATACAGTGAATAAGCGAAGATTATAAAGAAGGAGGAGAGTTTCTTGAAGAAAAAGAAGTTTGGTAAGAATGTGAGAAATAAAAATGAGTCGGAGGATGAAGAACAGAATGAAGGGTATTCGATTTGTATTTAATTTTTATTTATTCATTTTTAACAAGAAAAAAATACTAATTATTATTATTAATAATTAATGACTATTATTTATTTAGTATCTTATTTATCAAGTTAATCCCTTCTTCGTTTCTTTTCTTTTCTTCTTTCTCTCTTTAACCTTGATTTCCATGTAAACACACAGAGGTGTAAATGGCCTTAGATGCTAAAGCACCGCTTTAAAATAAACTTATATTACTACTACTACTTACTTTCTCTCCTTTTTTCTTTCTTTATCCTGTAAAACTTTTTGAATTTATGCGCCCCATTAAACTTAATATTTAACCTTCCCCCTCAACCCTTTTGTATTTTCACTGATGTAACCTTGATTTTCATGTAAACACATAGAGGTGTAAATGGCCTTGGATGCTAAAGCACCGCTTTAAAATAAACTTATTTTACTACTACTACTACTACTACTACTACTACTACTACTACTACTACTACTACTACTACTACTACTACTACTACTACTTCCTTCCTTCTTTCTTTCTTTGTTCCTTTCCTTTTTTTTCTCTGTGACAACGGCAACGCGACGAAGGCAGGGCCGCGGATCCATTCTCACTTCTTAACGACTGGCGAAGGACCCCGGAGCTGTTGCTACTGAAAAAGCACCTCGGAGTTTGATGAGCCTCCGCTCGGACATATATTTACCATGTCGTATAAACACGTACGCGAACCGGGATTAAAGACCCGCTCCCGCTCCATCGATTCAATTATTTCGATTCTTCGCCAATCCCCGAAACAACCCCAGCTAACTAAGAGCGACTAATTCCTTCGATATATCGATTCGGATCGGGATTCGGCTTCAGGGGCAGGTCTACTCGTCTTCAGGGAGTCGGTAGCCGGTTCATTGATCTGCCCGCGGTGTTGCCGGATTGTGCGAGCTAATAGACATTTTGTCGTTCGACGATTCGGAGTGTCGGAATTTACCAGGACTAACTGACAACGCAAAATATGATTTTAATCGATGGTGAGGCGTAAATGATCGATTTTCGATATTTCCCCATTTGAAGCTATCGCACAAAATCGATAACCAAGGTGTTCGTTACGAACACCCTGTTTATCGATCCTTTTCCATAAGTTTGAATGGTATATCAGTCGATATATCGTAAAGCACACCACGCCGCTGATATCAATTGCCGCAAATACATTTCGGGAACTATTTAGTCTTTTGTAAACTGTGTCTTCCTGAGAAAGACCATATTGGTGAATGGAATATAGTGCCGAACTGGTCAGATCACCCAACAGTGACAAAAATGGTACAAACATGGAACTGCGTTACGACCTAGTTGGTACCATGTTGATACTTTGTTTTTCCGACATGGCACTAAGTCTCACTAATTCACATTAGTGTGTCATACCTTGTTGAATCCAACATAAGCATGTTGGCGACAACATGATCTCAACATGGTACCTACAAGTACATTATGCTTTCAGCAAGGTAATATCTGCATTTAGTTTGCTTTTGCGGCTTACCAATGAACGTGCTGATGTGTGCAGATGGGCGAACGTGAAGATCCTGCTACAGTTCTTGGAAAACAAGCAAAATTACAGATGAAATTTACAGTTTGAGTATCAACCGGGCTTTTATTCTTTAACTCAAACTTCTGACGGTGCAAAGACGGGTCAAAAGGTAGCCAAAAACATTTATTCATATAAAATAGCACACTGTTCTGTTTTCCCTCGAGCGAATGTTTGATATTTTTCCGAATCTTGAGAAGATGCACTGAAAAAAAAGTGAAGTTGATTTAACATTCTGGATGTGTACAAAGTGCGCGAGAACTTATAAAACGCTGAATTTCCCGCTACATCAGATTACTTTAGCAATACCAAGATGTAAAACTAACTGATGTGGCGGGTAACTCAGTATTTTACAAGTTCTCGCACACTTCCTTCACATTCAGAATGTTAAATCAACTCCACTTTTGTTTCGGTGTGCGGTTCCTTGTAGACTGCAGTTTGTCTCCGATCTGAAAAGGAAAAGATCCTTATTTTTAAATCGTTTGGACATATTATGTTAGGTTTTATCAACGACTGAATTTTTTTTATTGCATCCATATCATTCGTA